CGACGACACCCGTTTTAACCTGATTAATAACCACGGAAGAAATGCCCAAATCGTTGATGAAATGATATATCGACTATACCATTTGTCAGCCATCAGCTACAAAGCCTGCGATGTAGCATTGCCTAGTACACTCTTAACACTTTTCTCAAGAGGAGGCTGGACTGCTATCAATAGTCTGATGTTAGAGCACAGCTCATTCCCGAACAAAAAATAAAGTGTTGAGACACCATTAATAACGTTAGACCAGGAGTTGAGCAGAGTGGAGTACACGATACTGTTCTCGGACACCAGAGCCCAGAACGGGGGCATGTGTGATCTTTCGAGTCGGTGAAGTTTCGGAAAAAAAGTGAGAAAATAAAATAGACGTCATCACCAGTCATGAGAGGGAGGGATAAGCGTTTTGCGAGACAAGGCCGTGCCTAGTATTGCTTGGATTCTGGAGCGGTAACTGAACTGCGCGAGTTTGATATCGATATCGAACGAGAATTGCGCAATAATTGCCAATGATTCTTGCACTTCAACACAACAATGATTTTATGTATCAACGAGATTGATAACAGGAAAGGTGTGTGGCCCTTTTGCCAGCGATCTGGCAGTTGTGTTTTCCACGTTGCCCCGGCCTTGACACATGCCTGGCATCCGCACCTATTCATTGCCTAAAGCGCGACGCCACCGAGGCAAGGGTAGGGTAGCTCTCAACATCAGGGACATGGGCTCAAGATTCTTCCAAACCTCAACGAGCTAGCGTAGCAGCACAGTCGTTCTCTCTGTTGTTTCCCGGGAATGATGCCTGCTTGTCTCTCGGTGTTCCCGCTTCCTATGGTCTTCTCCAAGGTCCCTTCTTTGTTTCGAATTGGATGGTCATCGTCCGATCACGGAAAGTACTCGGGTTTCTAGGCAGCCAGATTTGGCGGCCGAGTGCCCGACTCCGAGAGGTGAGCCAGAAATGCTTCTACTACAAAGTCCTCGTGACGAACGTGTTGCTGTTAAGCTAATAGGTACAATATGCGAGGGTTCTTGATAGGCGAGCGTCAGCGGCTCAAAAGACGATGTTTTCTCCAACTATGGAGTCCAACTCCTCACGGGAAGGACTCCACCATAACCTTCTGGAGCCAGAATCGAAGCCTTCGACTTCCCACCCTCGTCCTTCAGCAGATGCAATGGCGGGAAGATGAGGGGTTTCCAAGGGACCCTGCTCCACTGAGATCTGCTTTGGTGGGAACACCCGCTATGCTTGCGGGAGCCATTGAACGGTTGGCGTCGACAACAAGATGAGGGACCCTGGAACAAACGCCTCGAGACGTCGCTGTGTTAGCATTGGGTGCTGCTCAATGTGATTACAGGCGTGCCTGCATTTCAGGGACAGCTGAGTGCGTGACCAAGAAGTTCCTCTGGGCCGATGTCCGGCTTTGATTAAACCCAGGCGACTTTCCGATAGCGTTTCCTTTTTCAACGGACCATTGTCTCCAACGTCCAAGGAGTACCCTGTACTCTCGGCGAATTTTGCTTGCCTTCCTTTCCTTTGTCCCCACCCTACTCTTTCTATTCTCTTGGCACCCTTCATTAGGACTGCAATAGCCGCCAGGCCATCATAAGTTGATTCTGTCATACTCAAAACCTTGATCGAGTAATGCATGAGTCAAGTGTTCGCCGCGGTATGGACAATGCTCGTTCACTCATGAACTGAGCGGATCAAGCACCAAGTTCGCATTCTGAGCAATGTCGTGTCAGCCTTGATTCAAGACCCTTGAATCAACATACTGGGGCTCGTTTTCGCTTGACTCGTGGATCCTGCATATCATCTTGGAAAAACGGCTTCTTCGAGTCACGAGCCGAATGTTGACCCATTTAGGCATATGGCTGGCCTCTAACCAGTTAGCTGGCCTAGGAAATTGTTGTCAAGTGTGTTTCGTAGTGTGAGGCGGTATGTCGGAAAGCAGTATTATTAACTGAACAGAGTTGTTCATGCTTGTTGCCAAGACCTGACATGGCCAGCGTTATCAAGCTGCACGCGACAGGCATGCCTGTGATGGTCGTATTCTTTGTCACTTGGTTTTATGATGTTCATAACATGACCACGGCAAACCAACCATTGGTTATCGACTGATATGTCATTAAATGAAAGAAGCAATTCGTCGTCCGGGTAATTGTGAGACAAAGGAAAACCTGGCACTGAGATCTGGACGTATTCAATACACAGCAGTCTGACTTGTCTCAGCTTTCTAAGGGCGATTTCATCCTGACACTGGTTAGAGCAATATTAGGTAGTCGAGAAAAGCTATTCGTCAACACTAGCTCTGGAGCGTTCGGACTAGCCTCTACACTTGTTCACAAGATCAGGCAAAAAACGCAGGGAAAATCGTTCAAATGAGAAACGCTGCATGATCTGGTCGAGGAATCCCGGTGCGAACTCGGTGTCCGAGTCGTGTATGAGGTAATGCGGTGAGAGCACTTGAATTTGGTGTGAAGCATCGTGACCTTGGGTGTGCAGCGAGGCCGGCTACGACACCGGGAATCGAAAGACTAGTGTCAGGTATCGTGTACAAGGAACGCACAAGCGCGTTATGCCTGCAAGGTAGCAAAACAATGCGTACCTGTTACGAAATCACCCAACCTCCAGCATTCCCTGCAGACGCCCCCACCCCTGCGAGCAACTTACCTTTTCAACCTATCGTGTGTACAGTATCAACCGTGCGAATCTGTAAACACAGGCCTGTTTGTGAAGTTGTTCGACGCGTCGTGCATCATCCTGGATGTGATTTTTGACAGCATTGTTTCCCTGTCTGTGTTCAGGATCGCAAGATGAGAAGGATCGTTGCAAGTGCCGTTAGAACCCTGGCCATACAAAACGACGTAAAGGCAAGAAACTTGGTGTAAGATAGATGTTAGTTTAGTGTCGCTGATGATGATAACATGGCAACTCAGCGGTTGCTACCAGACCTTTTATCATATGAGGCAAACTTTTAAACAGCCCCTTAGTAGCTGATTGATTACAGCGATGTCGGACGGTGAGGCCGGTAGACTTGCGCCAACGGTGCCGCGCAATGCTTCAGTTACCTCGGCGCTGTGAGGACTCTCGATAGCTTTGTGTTTCTCTTACAGGAGGGTCTGCATGTCGTAGACGCCTCGCCTGGCGCACTTCGCTCAAAAGTCCCGAATCAGTTTGGCGCTTTTATTCGTACGATACTGTACAGTAGATCGCACTCTGGAAGTGTGTCTAGTAGAGACGGCACATAAAGTTTTTCTTCATCATTTTCTTTCCCTTTTTGACGGCTGGCAAGCTGAATGATGATGCCTTCTTGGACTCAATTGGAGCCTTGCGTTTCCAATACCATTGCTGATGATTTGAACTGACACTGTTAGCTCCTATAGTCTATTCCAAGAACCTGTGGATACGACGAGGGTACCTGGCCTGGACCTGACATGGCAGTGAGTCGGTAAGTGACGAGTAGGTATCCGTCCGTAGAATTCACCGCAAACTGCCAGCGAAATGAATTACTTTAGCTAAGGTGTCGAGCAAGCCCCGAATCTGGCGGCTTAGAGCGGCAATGGCATGGCACCTGCGCTAACATCCAAGTTGGACAGGCCAGAAATATCGCCGTAGACCCGATTTGATTCAGATTGAAGAAGGATGAGGGGCGTGTGAAGAGTAAAACGAAAAAAATTCGAACCATCCAAGCTAGAAGAGGAACAAATTTGACACTGCAAACAGTTGGCGGCCAGTATTGAAGCGTCTTCCTTGCTTGGCGCCGGCCTCGGTAACAGGTACTTCCGTCTTTACTCCTGCTCTATCTTTTTCCGCCTGTAACTGGCAGGCACGCTGCCGCAGCCGCGTTCTCACTGCCCTGATCTCAGTGTTCGCCGGCGAGAGCAAGTAGGTAGGAGGTACCTCGGGGTTTTCAGTATCTTCCTGCCTCCCGTAGGTCGTTGTTCCCTCGTTTTCCCATCTTTCCTCGTTCTCTCGTTCTCCCGAAAATTTTTCCCTCACACAACTCACATACCATCATCGACTCTTCTCTGGACTCTTTAGATTTCGTGCATCTTCAAATACATCGCCAAAACAATCACTTCAATTGTCGTGATATCTGAATGTCGATTTGCGCGTCTGGCGTCTGGCCCCATCAAACACGACCTCGACCCGCGACCCTCTGTGGCCTATTTTCGCCCTTTCCTCCAGATCCCAGCCGCCAGCTATTCTGATTGTGGTTCCTTTGCTTCGTTGTGGGCCCACTTCCCTTGACAACATTATCCACTTCCCACATCCTCTCGCTGGTTCTTTACTTGTAACTGGGTTGGGAATTTGCGACCACGCGAGTACCGGCTTTATCTTGCAATATATACTGTGCGTGCCGGCCAAGGCATTTTTACTAACGGTTCCGCGACTGGCAGCTTTTCCCTCCCTTCACTTCAGCTGCTGCTGTTGCTTTCCTTCGCCTTCGACCGCTCCTCGTGATTGCGTACTAAGCAAGACCGAAAAATTTACTCTAGTGCTGCTTCTGCATCTCTTTTTAATCCACACCCGCACCAACCCACTTCTTTTTTCCCTCCTTCACTCGCCTCTTCTTTTCACACCCACCCACTCTGAACCCACTCAACGTTACCCACCTTTTCAAAAACTGCCCTGACAGCTCGACCGTCTAGAGAGGAGACCGCGAGAAGAAAAAAAAAATAATACTTAAAAAGGTTCGGGACCCAGTTCTCCACTCTGTGCACCCTCTCCAAACCACTACCTTCAAAGAGGGACCTGCCACGAGCCTCATCCTCCACCATCCGGGAACATCTTCTGCGGAGCTCTACAAGGCATTGCATTTGATATTGCTTTGCTTCCTCAAGTTTTGCAAACCTCCTAGACCCCTCCCTCTTCCTTCCTTTCTCCGCAAATCCTCGACTTGGACTTGTCATCCACCAAGGTCCATTGTACCCCGGGCAGCCTTTTTTTGCGTCGCGGTATTCTCAACACCACGACGATTGTCACCAGCTTCGCGTCTACCAAGAGTAGCATGGACGGTCCTCACTACCCATCCAATGGTATAAACACGACTTCTTCTGGTCAGACTTATCCTTCACCAACCGCGATTTCTCCCAACCAACTTCAAACCGGCTCTCCTCTACCTCAGACTCTGCCACCGCTGCAGCCTCCAACCTCAGCCATGCAGAACATGTACGGAAGTCACCCTCATACGCCGCGAACCCCAGGCACCCCGAACACGCCTGGGTCGGCCTCCAACATGCCTACCTACCAGCAGCAGACATCGCAGCCCGCGAACCGCGCTGGTATTTACTCAATGGCCCAGAACCAATACCCTCCTCCCCAGGCCTATGGCACCTCTGCCATGATGCCCCAGGCGACCACTGCCGCGTCTCACCCACAGCCTATCGCGCCTGCTCCTGCTGGTGGTCGCGGCCCTCCTGTGTTGCGTCCTATGCCTCCTGGAGGCATCATGTCCCAACCTGGTGTCTCGTCGCCTTACGGCCCTGGTTCTCTTATGCAGCCCACTGCGGTTATGCCAGAGGGCGAACCTCCCACTCACGTTGTTGGCTCTCAGGGACGACGCGGCATCCTGCCCAGTGCTCCTGGGCGACCTGCTGCCCCAGCCGCTGGTACTGGCGCCAAGAACACCGTGATTCCTGTCAAGGACGCAGATGGCAAATTCCCTTGTCCTCACTGCACAAAGACTTACCTTCATGCCAAGCATCTTAAGCGCCACCTTCTGCGACGTGAGTATAACGGCTTGTTGACGCTGACAGATTTTACTGACATTCGTTTCCACAGATACCGGTGATCGCCCTTACATGTGTGTTCTTTGCCGCGATACCTTCTCTCGAAGTGATATCCTGAAGCGCCATTTCCAAAAGTGCTCTATCCGCCGTGGCAACCCCACCGGAGCTAGTCACTTGTCGCATCCTCAGGCTCATGTTAAGAAGAACCAACAGCAGGCTCAGAAAGCCGCCGGCCTCGCACATGAGGGTGACCTCAACCATCTCAATGGCTTGAGCAACCTGCCCGCAGACAACATGGTCCACCCATTTGGCATGGTCCCAGTCTCGGATGGCATGAACAACATGGCCCAGGATCAGAGCCAACTCTCTCGATCCAGCTCGCTTGGTCGTCTCGACAACGGTAACAACGCTGACAGACGGAACATGAACGGTCAGGTCATGGGTGCCTCGCAGCCCTATGGCGCTGACCCCAACATGAACCAGCAGCAGATGACTGGCTACAGCATGCCTCCCGCTCAGAACGGACTGCCCATGTACGGCGGCTCAAACACAAACCCTCCATCTGGCCTTGATTGGTCTCAGATGTTCCAGGCTGGTGCGCATCAAACCTACGTCAACACATCTTTCAATCCTAATCTTGGACAGACTCAGAGCGGAATCAAACCCGAACCTAATGCCGGGCCCGGAACGACAGGCGCCAGCGCCAGCGACACCCTTTTGTCGAATATGGGAATGCCATCTCACCAAACCTCATACAATCTTCTTTCTGATCAGATCCTTAATTTTTTCTATCCTCCTAACCAAGCCATCGATCCCTCTAGCGCGGGGATGAATCTCTACTTCTCGCCTGACAACGTCAAGGACTTCTTGGACAAGTACACTCATTTCCACATCCACATGCCTTTCATTCATGTCGCGACGTTCAAGGTCATGGAGGCGTATACTGGCTTACTTGCAGGCATGTGTTGCATCGGGGCCTGTTACTCAGACAATGTCACCCCGTCCAATGTTCGCGAAATGATGGATTTTCTTGTTGTCGCGCTTCAACGCGACTGCAAGATGATGTCTAATGCTGAACCTTTGGCAGGGCAACCGAGTCGCGCATCTCGGGCTGACATTGAAGAGCTTCAGGCTGTCTTGCTAACATGTATATTATTACTTTGGAATGGAAACCCTCAACAAAGAGAGCGGGCTCGACACATCTACCCCTTTCTTGCAGCAAACGCCAGGCGATTGAATCTTTTCCAGTCGTCGCGGGACCCTGCTCTTTTGTCAGCCCTTCACCAAATCGATTTTGACCGGAACACTTTTGATTTGCAGCAATGGAACTGGGATACTTGGGTTGATCAAGAGCGTCGGAATCGTCTAATGTTTGGCGTCTTTCTAATGGACGTCGCCATGGGACTTTACTTCAACTCTCAACCATTGTTCGATGTTATGGAATTTCACCTACCTTTACCTTGCGACGACACTGCTTGGGATGCGGACAATGCCGGGGACTGTGCTTCTGCGCTTGGCCTCAATGGCGATGTCGCCGCTCGTGATAAGAATCCTTATGGCACTCAGCGACCAAAGCAACCTGAGATGGACTGGGCTCTCAAGGCTCTTCTGCACCCCTCGTATCAGATCCAGCCTGGAAGCACCAACCTTTATGGAAAGTTTGTTCTTATCCATGGCATATTAGCTCTGATTCGGCGGGCCCAGATTGAGGGCAATGCGGCTCAGCTGTCCAAATTTGGAACGCCTCCTCCCAATGATTGGATGACTCCAGCTGGCCACAATAGTGGACGGGGTACTCCTGTGGAGGGGGCGGCTGCTAACGTTGACCCACAAAGTCTGCAGGCACTTGTTATCGCTCTGAGCAAGTTCAAGAATAATTGGGATGCGGATATGGCCAATCAGTTTCCGCCAGCATTGCCGGGATCTAGCAATCCTCGGCGGCATGGTTTCTCGCGAGATGGCATACATTTCTATTGGCTTTCCAATTACCTGCTCAAGCACACCCAAGCGGCGGACTTACGGTTGTCGCCGGATGCTCGCTTTGTCCAAATTATCCAATTATTGAAATCGGTGAAGTCGTGGGTGATGTCAGATGGCGCGAGCAGAGGAGAAGAATTAGGATCTGTTGGAGAGATTGATGATCAGTATGGAGCAGTGGATCTCACGTTAGAGATGGCAAAACTATTCAAACCACTTCCACAAGTGGTGGAAGACGCTGGCACTGCGTCTGTCAAAACGGAGCTTGACTAAGGGACGGCAGTATGAATTTCTTACAGAACCAAAAAAAGTACTATAGGGGCGGGGGCTGCATCTGGAGGCGTTGCGCTGCATTCTGCTTTGTTTTCTTCATTTTCTTTGTTTCCTGGGTCACTGGGTTTCACCAATGTGATGGTCATCTCAAGGAAGACCGGATTGGCCTCACACATCCATGGTTGGCACTGTTGTGCAATGCATTTGTCGAGAATAGACGGGAAGAGGAGTTGTAACTGCATATTAGACTTTGATCAAGATAGAAAGGGAGGTCTAACTGGTTGACGGTCAACCGGTAGACCATCATGACTTGATGGCTTGGAGCAGGTTAATGATGTTTGCCTATATTTCTACTTGTGCCCATTTGTGAAGTTATATGTTAGGAGATAATTCGTGACACTGCCGCGGCTTGTTCGCTTTCGCTTGCGAAACATCGCCCTTGGGAGACGTGCAGATATGGTTTATAAATGTATTGCAAGCCGCTCAGTTCAGTTACTGTCTTTCTCGTTCTTATCAACAGTGGTGATCTTTGGGGTGTACTTGTCCAGCTCAGCCTTGTCCTCTTCAGTTGGAGTCAAGCCAAGAGACTTCTCAAGTGGATCAGTCAACATGAGTCCTCCAGCGCCCCAAGCGATGATTGCGACACCGACGCCGAGACGCGTCTTGGGTGAGAGGTTTTTGTAAGCCCTGGTTGTGTATGTAAGTCCTCGTGCTGAGGGCTACGGGTTAAGGATGAGGCAACTTACTTGAGCATGTTGTTTGATGTGATGATGGGAGAATGAGGACGAGAATAGCCAGTCACATGACCTGTGTGTCCTTTGAAAATGACAGGCATCAGCACATAACTAACGTAAGCTCAACAGTTTCCTGGAGGAATACTCACACTTGAGGCGTTTGAGGGGCGATGAGGCGTATCGCCGTGAGCCGGCGGATGAGAACTGGGATGAAGATAGACAGAAGTTGATGTTTGATGCGGAAAAGGATGTGATAGGTTTACCGTGGGGCGTGGCAGTAGCTCAGCTCCGAGGTTCCAGTCAAGACAGGACAAGACTGAAGCTGAACTCTCTCTTCATACCTATCTTGACATGAACATACGCAAACATAGGTAGTTGGCATTTGACTACTTATGAGGAGAGCGATAGAGTAAACTATTGACACTCGATAATACTACACAAAACAACACCAAAGCTTACTTGAAGGAACAAGAACAAATCATGGAGCATCACGAGCCAGTAGCATTGTCATCGTCATCACAATCGCAGCCCCGCCTTACACATCTCCCATACGAGCTCATTACTAACATTGGCGTCGTTCTGCCAGGGCGAGATTTCAAAAACTTCAGACTTTCATGTCAAAAGATTGCAGAATGTACTAAACCACTCCTTGCATTGCCCGATTTCAATGGCGTCCCGTGGAGGAAGGATGGGGAGAGAATTCATCATCTTTCCCTTATACCAGGCTGCGCAAGGCGCATTCATTCCGTCAAGTTCAACATGGCTCGCTTGGTTGAGGAAGAGGTCGAGTACGCTACATCGCGAATCATCAACGCGAATGAGCTCCATAGAGCCTGGGGCCCTTATCTCGAGACTCAAGATATCTTCCTCGACCCAATCGAGCTGCCTCTTGACTTGGTAGTTCCAGCTATCATGAGGCTACCCAATCTCGATTCCGTGTGCTTGACTTGGACGCAGTGTCCATGGAAAGATTACAGGGCAATTGACGATGTCTTTAGCTCGGAGGAATCTATGGAATTGGCTGGTGACGAGATCCTAGAGTCACAGCAAGCTATCCTGGATGCTCTACTCAGACGCAATGTACCACTCAAGAGCCTCACAATCGAGCCGATAATGCATCCGTACCTGAAATTGCCATCCACACTGGACCCAAGAGTATCAACAGCCTTTGGGTCGGTGACTCAGCTACACTTGCACCTGAAATACGACGTCATCTCCTTCAAGCCAGACCGCCTCGATTACTTCATCTCTCTGATGCCCAACATCCGAGACCTAAAAGTCCACAGCACTCCTGTCGAGTTCGAAGCCAGCGATGTTGACTTATACATTAAGAAGAGGCTTCCTCACCTTGAGAAGATCGACCTAAGCGGTTTACACATCAACTTTGTGCACTTTGTCCGTCTGATTATCGAACACCGCTCGACACTCAAGGAAGTTGACCTACAGAGTATATATGGATGGTGTGATCCTTTCAGTTCAGCTGACATCGACTGGGACTTCATCTTCAAGCTTATGAGGGAGAAACTCGAGGTGTTAGAGACGGTTCGAATCAATGGCCGATTTAGTGACAATGTGGGCTGGTATCAGATCTTCTTTCGTAATGATGTGCCTGCTGTAGACACGATTGTCAGGATTATGGGAGAGAGGAGTGAAAGGCTGGAGAAGTATATACTGGAGGGAGGGGAGTATCCTCAGCCTTTGTGGAGGATATAAGACGTTGGCCGTCCAAGGAGAAATGGGCAGTATTGGGCATGGGACAATCGGGGGATAATGAATTATGATGAGAAGGAAATTTTGCTTTGGAGTTGCATGATAATGAGGTGAGCGCGAAGATATGATAGGGAGCGAATATTGGGCCATTGTCCTTTCAGGGAGATATTGGAAAGCATATTAGTACTAGCTTTGTCTACAGAAACTGCTAAAAGTGTGTGGTTTCTTCTTTTCTGTTAAATTTTGAGTGGCACAGCAGCAGCTTCTTCAGCAGATATGATTTATGTTGACATTGAAGTTCTGGAGTATGAAGATTGGCATGTCCAGTTCACGTAAGATGTAGTTCAGCATATGGTACGGAACATATAAAGCCAAACTGTCAAACGTGATATAACGACTGGAACTACTTATTTATATGGCTCGAAAGTGTAAAGACTCAAGTTTCTTACAGACGTCATCTTCAGGAGTCAATAGAGGCCTGCCTGACTTGAGAAGTTATGAACAAATAGTGTGATACAACCCAGAAGTATATCGACAAGAACCGCCCAATTTAATTCAAGTTGGGTTGGAAATATTATGAAAGAGCTTTATGGTTACAGAAAAAGAGAACTTGTTACGTCGTTCATATTCATAATCATGTTCCTCACACCTTTCTCAAGGATCAGCTCTATCAACTCTCTGGAGTCTTAAAGGCATGGCCTGCATCCGATCAAATCACCTAGATACCTACACTCTACAAGATATGGCTCCGAGACCAACACCAAGGCTTGAGAATATGTGAGATACGCCACCCAACGTTTCTGTCACATAATGCCTCCGAACTCCCAATGACTTGGCATGATCGAGCCACTGGTACACTGCAATCGTCGTCAGAGGAAACAATCATCTCTTGTGTACTTCAGGGTCTTTTGTGGCAGTTGATTCAATCAGAGTGAGCATGGTATGTCAGCCATAGTATGATAGGTCTTGAATATTGTACGTTTACTAGACAGCTTCTAGGATACGAACGGCACAGTAGCGACCCAAGGTATGTCGTGAGATTTGCTTCTTTACTTTGGCATGCTTTCTAGTGATGGCTACACAGAAGAAGCACGCTATGGATGCAGCAGAAAGGGGTTTGACACGATGATGCCTGGGAAATCTTCGCGATGGGATTAATGAAAGTATGTTCGGTGCTAAAGCTCGAGGAATGTACATAACACGTCATTCGATTGTAAGAAAATTCTGGTAAAGAGAAATGGCAACACTCTTCAAGACATGAGCCAACGGCTGCAGCAATCACCGAGACATCAAGAGAAGAGCTGAGGGACAAGTAGAAGCCGTTCCCGCGCTTCTTGACCAAAAGTCGTTGAAGGCTTGGCTGAAATTGAAGTTGAGTGGCAACTGAAGGGAGAGCACAAGACCCCGGAGTTGGAGGGGATGAGATGGATGGATGAATGAATGAATGGTTATGATTGCTTTTTGGTAGGATTTGTCTTAGACTTGCATACTTGTCTCAAAGCATCCAATCCAAACTAATGTCGGCTGCGCATCCGTGGTTTAGACGCATCGAGTGTCGCTGGACACTAAAGCATGTCACTTCCATTTCTCATCACGATGATATATGAACTGATGGCTAATGCTCTCTGCAACTAGACACGGTCGTGAATATCTGTGCGTGCAGCAGCAGCTAATATCGGCCGCAGTCGTAAGCCGGTGACACAAGCCATTCTCGGTACTGCAAGCCTTGTTTCAGAAACATTCCCCATTGAGGCGGCACGAGGGCTCCTGGAATGACAGGGCGAGGACTAGAATTCTAGGGAGAGAATGAGAGAGAGAGAATGAGAGAGAGAGAATGAGAGAGAGAGAATGAGAGAGAGAGAATGAGAGAATTCAAGAGCTGGAAAAGCAATTAATGCAATTGCGAGACGGGTTACACGTGGTAGGTGATGCTTGCATAGAGCGTCAACTCTGAGACCATCATGAAGCTCGGGACATCTCTTCTCCATTCCAAGAAGACCATACTAAGTAAATGCAACTGTTGAAGGAGCACTCTACATATGGCCTCAAAGACAGAAGCAAACTGTCAACTCTGGCTGGCTGTTGGCCTATATCAGACTAGGTAATCAAGTAATAAACCGTTTATTATTATGCACGAGATAAATGAGGACGCACGCTACAGTACGGAGTACCTGCTAGCAAGCCCTATCCCCCAGAGAACGACGCCCGATGAGCAGGACGGGAAAAGAAAAAGAAATTATAATGCATGTCTAGCATAACAAGAACATGCAGCAGTGCATCCTTTTAAAATATGACCAAGGAAATTAATATGTGACGTTGTACCTACGGATACCAGAGAAACATAGCGTTTTACTGTAACTTCGTCTCGAGTTTCCAGGGACTTGCGTGTCACCCCTTGAAACACATGTCAAATGGAGTTTTTGACCTATTTTATTGAGGGACAAAAAAAGAAAGAGAACAAAAAGACTCATTGACCCCAATCAAGGGGGATCCCAGCGTCAAACGCGGAAAATAAATTGTTTTCTGCGTTGATCTGATCTAGAGCTATCCCTGCAG